TGAGCTTTGTTTACATAACCTGCAAATCTCTTTTCATCTCACAGGAACAGTTGAATGACTTTTTTTTACCCCTACAAGACAAAGTTGAAAATTCCTCTAGAGTCTGATGATGGACAGATCAAGATGTTTCATCTACAGGATGTCGTTTGAGGTAATTATTGTCTCTCAGTAATAACGGAATATTTCTTTTAGACTGTTTAACATTTCTGTGTAATCACTTTTCTCTAAAAATGTTAATTGTCCCATTTCTCTAACGTTTCCCCCATTGTGATCTTGTGGTGTAAATCCTAAGCACCTGCAAGATGCTGCAGTGTAAAAAACAACCTTACCAATAGTACCAAAGYTATGGGAAAGTGCATTGACCTGCCCTTCCATAGAGAGAGGAAGGAATGAGAAGAATGAAGAGGGAAAAAAAAAAAAAAGAAAAGAAAAAGTCCAGGTATCCTTTGGAGTTCCTTGATTGTTTTTGGAAAGCTCATGTCTTTGCAAACGTGTTTCCTGGATGGACAGATAGGGAATAGGAAACACCTCACCATAAATTGCCAGTGCAAAAGCCCAGCCTTTGCRTTTCAGCTCTCAGCAGCTGCTGCATGTTCAGGAGATGCTGGTGTCCACCCACATGCTCAGAGTTGTGGTTTTCCTCCAGGCAGCCACCACCTATCAAGGCAGGTCACAAAAACAACTCTGCCACTGCCATGTGGTAGTATTGTTTTGTCGGCTTTTTTTTCACAATGAATTTTCCACTGTGTGTTCATTGGAATACGTTTTGGTTTGCCAGAATTAGTTATCAATATGCCATTGTTATGAGTTATATAATCATGGTCAGTGTTATTCAGCATTATCAATTATGAATAATATCATCAAATGGGTGCTATAAAACGAATACATTTAAATAACTGGGGATAAGACACTGTGATAAATGTGGTGCATTTTTTTGAAGACTGGCTTAGTAGCCTGGCTGTTGAACTGACACTCATCTTTTGAGCAGAACCTCTGTCAGCACTGGTAAAATGAAGAGGCAGTTTGGCTCCTATGCCTAATCTAGAATGGAAAACCAGCATAGGGGGCACAGCAATATGCTCTTTGAATAGCTACTTCTATATTCTGTAGTCCCAAAAYGCGTTTTTCTCATTTAATGTCATGTACTGGTCATGTGGTCTGTTACTGTCCCTAGTGTCAAGCTGTCATTCATGTGCTCACAAGGATAACCAGTGTTGGGTGTTTAATGATTGCYTTGTGCCTTGCATAACTTGTAGATTAAATATTTCTCCTTCATACGCAGTATCTCAAAGGGAAACTTGAACTGGGGTGCTGCATCTTGTCTTCAGATGTTAGTGATCTCAACCTCTCAGTTCCTGGCCTGACGCTCCAGTGTGTGTAAGGGTCCCCGTGAAGGATGAAAATCAGCTGGATTCTGGCAAGCACYGAGCAAGCAGCCCCGGAGCTGGATGCACGACTGAGTGGTAATAGTTGTGAGGAAATATAAACGGGCTAATGTAATATAAACACGAGGAGGAGGGGATGCTGACTGAAGAGGGAGCAAGGAGAACATTTTAGTTCTGTGTGTAGTTGGTGCTCAGGGAACAAAAAGTTAGTGGTCGACTGACACCTCCTTAAGGCCTYGTTTTACTGGAATGAGGTGGAGGTTATTTTGAGGCTGCCTCATGCATCTGATGTGAAGTGCAGAGAAGGCAAGCCATTGGTTTTAAATCAAGGCAAATTGCCCAGGACAGGCCTGACGAGCTCCTCTTTCCTGTGTTCTGCTTCAGCACAGTTCACCCATGTTATTTTTTACGAAGTGAAAACCTGTGAAGACAAGCGAGCCGAAAGGATTGGTCTGAGAGCAGGATATTAGTGGTTGCCCTAGGAACAACGGGCAGACTACTTAGCTGACCCTAAAATCCTTGGCAGCTGAGTAGCTTCTGTGTGATTTCATGCATTAAAAGATTCCTCTGCTTGTGACTAACATCATCTTTCCTTAGAGCGAGCAGGACCTGAAGAGAAGCGAGGCAAGAGAAAAAATGATTCATTTGCACAGACTAGGTGGATGTTGCCTCCTACCAAACTGTTCACCTGTCACGAAATGACTTCTGCATTGGTGTGTGACCTGTTCTTCGTAATGGAGATGACTGAACTTTGCCRGCATGCAAACCATGGGAAGAGGAGCATGGAGGAGTCTTAGCGTGAGGAAAGGAAGAATAAGCGTAAGGAGGTAGGCTTGGGGAAGGTCAGCTCATGTAGGCTCCATTTTCACTTAGAAAATGACCATATTAAGTTCTGTGATACCTGTTTGGTAAGGTTTTGATACCTTCCAAGAGAGCAAAGRGGAGCTGCTTACTTCCTGGGGCAAATTTACTCACAAGCTAAGTAAATCTTTGTGCATAACCTGGTGCCTCAGGTTTGACTGGCACTGCACTGGCTGCGAGGTGAGAACCTGGGAGTCGTTTCTCATCCTGCTGTTAAAAATACCCTAGATTGGATAACTGAATTTGAAGACTAGGTCTGTGAGGGAAAAGCTGAAATGGTGTTGGACTGAATCCCAGTGGATTCAGTTATGTTAGTGATGGTTGTGTTAGTGAAGGTTATGTTAGTGATGCTTTTACAGCACTGTGTTGTTAGTGATAGTATGACAATTAGAGTCTTTGTTTTTCTTTATTTTAAATCTATGTAAAGTATTTGCAAGGCTATTTTTGTCTATAATTAGCATTTCCTGACTTCTGAGTCCTAACCATAAAGGGAGATTTATGTTTCTTTAAGAACATTTTGTTTCCCTGGTCTTGCTGCTACGATTTATCTGAGAATAGCAAAGATGCCCTTGATTCCCACACTCTGTAAACTGCACAGAATTCATCTGAAGTATGATTCAAAATTACAGATGATTAAGACGGTGAGAGTACACAGTGACTTGTCAGATACCTGGTACGGAAAAATTGGTCTTATAAAACTGAGTGACTCTATCCATTCCACTATGTAGTAAACAGCTTTAAGGGAAAGGTGAAACATACGCTTAAAGTTTTGCTTGTTGGCTTTGTGTTCTGCGTTTCCAGTTTCTAGTGTGGCTGCATGTAGGGATATATAGTACAAGAGAACACTCTGAAGTTACATGCTTAGTATGCTACATCTTAAGGAAGTTAAGCATATTTTTCCTCCTATTATTCTCTCTACAATCTGATTGCTGTAATTATGAGCAGCTTGCTTTGAATTTCCAGGCACAGTTTATTCATGCCCAGTTTACACCCTTTGTGCTTGTGCCAGCCACATCTTGTAGATTAAGTAGTCTCTAAATTCAGTGCACAAGCAGGAGTTAGAAGTAAGGGTTGTGTTTCCTGCGTGTGGCCAGCATTCCCCTTGGGCTGAGTGCCACCAACACCAGCCTGAGCTCTTAAGACCTGTTGAAGTCACCTCATCCTAGCTGCTGTTCAGGGATGTGTTTCACCCATCCTTGCTAATGAATCACTTCAGCTGATAWGTTTTCCCCCTACACGCTCATTTCCTTGACTCAAACTATAAGTAATTGCACCTTGAATACTGTAAATGAATGAAAAGTGGTATAATGATGCTGTGCTCTCATGAAATCCTCCTGTTTTCCCCTGTCAGGATTGCTGAGGGTCGCTGGCGGTCCCTGCAGCAGCGGAGACATTTGGATAAGCAGTGGATCAGCCAGGAGAGGGGAATCCAGCAGCTCCAGGCAGGTCCATGTCCTCTTCCTGGCTGTGAGTCCAAAATCACATTTCCTGGCTGTGCTACTGGGGACACAAACAGGGTCCCCAAACCCACATCTAGGATCAAATTTCAGGACCATGCACCGGGTCCATATGTTTGTGTATGTCGAGGAAGAAGAGGCAGGGAGAGGAAGGAGAGACGGCCTCGCGCATGCTGAGCTCTGGAGGAAGGCGCAGCCACAGTGCGAGGGAAATTTTCTAAGCATCATTTATTTGCATAGTGCTTCCCCTCCGTCTTCCTCAAGCTATTTAAAAAAAAAAAAAAAAAAAGTCAGTCTGGCCACATGAAGCAAAACACAGAGTTTCCAGGAATAGGGTCCGTATGCTGAGGAGAAGTCATTAGTGTCGTTATATGGGCTGTGAGAAGATGTAAGGTCCTGTGTGGAACAGGAGCAGAGAGAGAAACATGATTCACCTCGTGTTGCACTGCCTCGTATATCCTGTGTCTTAGAGCATAATTTGCAAGTTATTTATTTTCATGTGGTTAAGCTTGGCTAGAAGAACATACGCTTTTATCTCCTGTAAATAATGTTGTAATGTAATGACACTAGGACCTGTTGTCTATAAACACAAAAGAAGCAGAAAGAACACAGTGCCCAAGCTACAGTTTTATAGCCATGCTTCAAATACTGGCTTTTTTTAGCCCCAGATAGGAAAGTTTTTCATAAATGAAAGCATGGATAGTGCTACTTCTTAGAATTTAGTCCTGAAGGTAGCCAGCCAGGAGAACATCTTGGAGGAGCCTTTGGTTGGGTGTCTCCTGCGCCAGCACGGAGGCCACCGGCAGCTCCCACAGGGACCAGAGTCAATGGGTGGCACCTCCTTGGRTTTTAAATCGCACTCTGAGCAGCAGGGGAGTTGCCCTTACACGGAAGGACAGCACTGGTCCTTGGTGACCAGACGCTGGGTGATGCCAGCTGTGACTCTCACCCTCCATGCCCAGCCTCCTGGTGGCTCCAGTGAAGCTAGTGGCACCTCAGCACCCCACTCCATCCTCGGTCCCGCTGCATCCTCCAGGCTGCCTGTGGCAAAGGGCGCTGCCCCGAGTCGCAGCCGGGCACCATTCCCCGGCCTCGGGCTTGAGCCGGCTCCTCTGGCCGCGTTTCCTCGCCGGGAGCTCCGGTTTTCCCTCGCTCGGGGGGCGCTGCAGGGCGCGGAGCCCCGCGGGGCGGAGCGGCCCGGCCCGGCCCACCCGCCTTATAGCGAGGCGCCCGCCCGCCGCCGCCGCCAGCGCCGCCCGCACCCGGCCGCAGCGGCCGCGCAGAGCCCCGGAGCCGGGAGGAGCAGAGCCGGGCCGAGGTGAGTAACTGGGCCGGGCCGGGCCGGGCCGGAGCGGAGCTCGCGGGGAGGGGAGGGGGCGCCGCGCGGGTGCCGAGCGCGCCTGAAGGCTCGGCGGCTTCTCTGCTTCTGCCTCCCCTTCTTTCTTTTCGTTTTCTTTCTTTTTTTTTTTATTTTCTTTTCCTATCTTTTTTCTTCCCGTTTTTCCCCCTTCTCTTTTCTTTCTTTTCCTCCTCTTCCTTTTTTCTTTCTTTTCCCCTTCTTTTTTTTCTCTCTTTGCATCCTCCTTTTTTTTCTCTCTTTCCCTCCTCCTTTTCTTCCTCTCCCCCCCCCTTTTTTTTTCTTTTCTTTTTTTTTTTTTTCTCTCTCTCTTTTTTTTTTTTTTCCTTTAGTTTTCCCTTACGGGTGCCCCCGGAGCCAAGGTCCCTGAGCGCGCTGCTCGCCCACCCCAGCTCTGCTTGCTTGAGCAGCAAGGGCTGCTCTCTTGCCCGAGTGCTTTTACGGGCCTGTGAGCCGGGGTGTGACAGCGTGACCCTCAGCACGGATTTGTGAAGCTCAAGCGGGGACAAACCCAGGCTGCTCAGGAAGTGCTGCTCCTACCAGGAAGAGAAAACTCCTCACAGCAGGGGCTGCTTGCGAGGCTGCTGCAAAACTTCTTACCAGCTCCACAGGGAGGGTCTTTTGCTGCTAGCTGAACAAGTTACAGTTATCACCTCTGGTCACTAAATCTAAAAGCATCCACAATTTCCTGTACTATTCCCTTTTTCTGCAGTACACTTCTGCATCACATTTCTCACTTTGGAGAACTCACCAAGTTTAGTTTTTGGATTTGTGCCTTCAAATTTGGATTGTGAGTAATTTGGGGAGGGAATTTTGAGTTCCTTTCTGATGTTGTTTTCATTGGAACAGCAGAGCTACTGCCGAGAAGTGGTGTTTGCGAAACCAGCTGTAGAGCCAGCTGTGATTTAAGACAGTCGTAGRGATTTTAAAGGCTGCTTTGATACGATGCCTCTGATTGTTATTTTTTATGAGTCTTAGTGGGTTTCAACTACTGTTTGTAAGCTTCACGTTCTGATTTTTGTACTGTCTGTCTGGCCCAAGGGAAGTGCAGAGGTCTGGAGGGAAGAGGAAGCCAAGAGGTGTAAGTGCTGTCATCAAGGTGCCGTCAGAGCATCATGATGTGTGTGTGGCAAGTGTATGGAAGTAGATATATTTGGGAGTATAAGCAAGATTGAGAAAGGAGAGACTAGTCAATATATTATTCTTTTACCTTTTCTTCTAAATTTAAGTCTTCTCAGGAACCACTACTGATAATGTCTATGGAATAGACACAGGAAGGAAGTGATAGAAACTGGTCAAATCATGGAGGAACGTTACTGACAATTAGCAAAACGTAATGACGCTGTAGCCATTCAAAGCTACACGGATAAATAATACACACGGATATCAGCAGCAGGAGCTGACGATCAGTCTGGAAGGCGCCTGCCAGAGGGGGAGGAGGGGACTGAGTTTAAAAAGCGTAAAACCTGTTGACTTCCTCCTGGAGCCGGGGGGAGGGAGCTGTTGGTGCGACTAGACTGCTCATCGCTTCCCTTTTCCTCAGGAGAAGCAGCCTCTCAATCAGCAGGTACCTGCTGGGCGGTTAGCACCACGCTGACCGCCTTCCAGTACAAAAATTGCAGTGAAATGCCCRGTGTTTTTTTGCACCACAGCTCTGAAACGCAGAACTCAGACATCCTGCCTGTCTCAACAGGTTGCTGCAGAGAGCAAACCAAAGCGAAGCGGAGGAAGCGCAAGGCGGAGCGGGGATCTGAGCTTGCCTGAGCGCAAACCCCAGGGCAGCGTGGAAACAGTTGGCTTGCTCCTTTGTATCTCAGTCTAATACTGACTTTTCATCACATCCAGGGCAGCCTCCTGGATAGATCAGTAATTTTAATTTCCTGTGCCTTCTCCGAAACTGCTCCTTTTCACTTCTTTTTATTACTGTGTGTCAGTGATAATCAGTGCAGTCGTGTTGGAGGCCTCTGGGACAGCCYTTTGGCACGGTGCAGGGTTTGGAATTTTTCTCTTGGCACCTGTTTTCGTTTTTCATGGTGTTCATGTGGCTGTATCTTGTCTGATAAGGCATCAGGAACAGCACTAAATGAGGCTATCCACAGGCTGCCTGCTTTGCCCAGGCTCTTTAGCTCAGATGCAGCCAAAATGATGGTGCTCCATAGACCTGCGTGGAGCTCCTGCTGTGGGATTTGCTTCTCATTTTACAGGCTCCCGCCTGAAAACAAACAGCTGCTTTTGTTGCCGAGCAAGGGTTTTGTAAACAAGGCAGAGAAAAAAAAGGCTTTTTTTAAAAWGGGTTTTTGTTTTTCTTTTTCTCTCCTTTCCTCATCTATCTCATTTAAAAATAAATTAAAAAAGACATCAATGTGCAGGAGAGGATGTAGAGAACGGGAATCCACTTGATCACAGGGGCAGCTTCTCAGAGTGCCCTCTCCCCCCTATAATCAGCTGCAAGGTCCTTGGGGAGAGGATAGGAATAGCGCTGAAAGACACTTATTCTGCTTTTTTTTTTTTTTGGTGGGACATGTGGGATGCTGTGGACATGTGGATTCTCCTAGGAGAGAGGAGAACCCCATGCAGGTGGAATTGCATCTTCTCTGGTTTGGCTGCAGGGCTTACTGGTAGATGGAGTGCGGATTTGGCTCTTGGAAGCCAACCCCATCTAAAGGGCTGCGTTCAAACCGCCTAGAAACCCCCATCCCGCTCCAGTCGAATGGTTCCTCTGGTGCAACAGTCTCTTCCTCTGACTGCAGAGTTTTGCTAGTTCTTTTTTTTGCCTTTTATGTGTGCCTGTTCTGCAGCTTCTTTTTCCATTGGGATGATTGAAAATACAGATAAATAATTTCTTCAGATAACTGAAGAAATCTATTTTAAATAATGATTGAGCATCTTGGGGATAATGACACTGGTATGGGGAGATTGCTCCGTTATTGTTGTAATTTAGAAACTAAATAGTAGTTTACTATTTTTGACAGGCATTACTTTTTTGGCAGGCTRTCCATTGTGTGACTGTTGGGATTCTTAGTCTAATCTAGCTTTTGCCCCAAATCCTGCATTTCTGTGGGGAGAACTTTGTGATATAGCAAAGGTCTCGAGGGATATTTAAATATTTGGGAATTTCGAAGATAATGAATGTGAATTTGGCCTTTGGGTTCTTCCTGGGTTGTGCAGCAGCCTCTYGCTGCACSTTTCCCCCAGCAGCTGCTCAGGAAAGACACATGTGGGTCCCTCTGAAAGGTGATCAGGGAGCAGAAGGATAAAAGCAACGAGAAAACAAAGTTGCCCTGTGTTTTGCAGCCCTGCTCTTTACCCTGGTGGCTCTGTGCCTATCTGATTGCCAAGTGCCTTGTGCCRGGTGAAGGAAAACAGAGCCTTGGCCAGGTGTTTTCTCTGAATATTAACCCCCTGGTCCATTGCTGCGCCTCGTGGGCAGCTTGTGGCCTCAGGCAGGGGGTTCCAAGGTTCCCTCAGGTTCATCCAAGAGGGAAAACAAGCCGGGAAAGGCTGGTGAAAGGGAGTTGCATGTTTCCGTCCTTGCACCTTAATGAAAATAAAGCACAAGGTTGAGGATGACTGTTTTTCACCAAGCCTGGTGTGGCAGTGCCCCTCTGCACAGCGCAGTGAYGTACCCAGCCCCACGGCCCTGCTGGGGGAGCAGCCAGGAAGGGCAAAACTTGCCCTGTCCTGTAGGTTGTGACTTTGTTTCCTCTGGTGTTTGGAAGGAATCCGACTGCAGGGGTCAGGAAATCAGGTGGTGCTCTTTTCCATCAGACCTCTTCATGATGGAGAGGGGTAGGAAGGTGACTGAAAAAAAGAAAAAGATGAAGAAAAAGAGTAAGGAATACTTTCACAGTAGGGGATGGAATGTTACCTGGCTGCACTTTTTGTTACACCACGTTAGGGAAAGTGTGTCTGAAACGTGATCCGTGGGGAGGTATCAGGTTCGGAAGGAACATGCACTTTGTTTCCGTGCAGAGCAGCCTCTTTCCCTTATCCCCAAAAAAGTATGTTGGTGTATGTTGGCACTGGGGCATTAACACAATAGACATAAATAGTAGTATCCGTGATTCTAGACAGCTCTATTCTTTTCCATACATATCCAGCACATGATTGGAACTGTCAGCCTCRACATCAGAACTAAGTAAATGCTTTTTTGATGTATAAGTAGACCTGGAATCCAGCCTCCCACCAATGGTTCTGCTGGCCTTGCAGTTTGGGTAGCTTTAGAGCACAATACAATGTGTTTTGCCATTTAACTGGCTCTGAATGCAGAGGATAGATGTGCTGAGCAAGAAAGTCTAGTCTTTGTATACATGGTAATTAGTAAGAGCAGTCAGACTCTCCATGTGTCTGTTTGCTCACTAGCCAAATAAGTGTGACACGGTGCCTGTGTCTCTGGACTAGCAGCATGGTAAGCCACTGCTGAGACTATCGTGTTYTCTGAAATCAAATTAATAATAATTTCATTTTGGTGCTTCCCAAACTGCCTGCTAAGGGGATGTGGTAGAGGATTTGTGTAACCTGGAGTTTCCAAAAGGTTTGAGGTGTTTATTGAGGTGGTCACTGTCCTTTGAGCAGTTTTAGGGGGGGAGTGACGGGTGTGCCACTTGGACTGACTKCTGTTTAGTGCAGTCGTGGAGCTTGGTTGCAACATACAGGCACTGCTAGCTTGTCAATGCAGCGAACAGGGAAATGCATTTAAAGGTGCAATTCACTGGAATTAGTTATAATACTGATTTGAGTGGAGTTCTCACTAGAAAGAAGGTAAAATGGCAGCCTTTTTGGTTTTGCAGGTAGGTTGATTACATATGTTTAAAAAAAAAGGTAGATTTTTGAATATGTAGTTTATGTAGTGCTTGTCTCTCGTAATAATCTTGATTAAGCACTTACCTCCTAATGGAGCATAAGTATGACTTGCAAACAATGTTTGCTAATTCAGAGCTTGAAGACCTGCTGCCTCTTCA